GGCACGAACCTGCGTCCCCTGCATCGGCAGGCGGACTCTCAACCACTGCGCCACCAGGGAAGCCCAGCAGTACCCTTCTTAAGAGTCCTGGGTCTCAGCCCCATGGGGACTTTCCTCTGAGCTCAGATACCAGCTCCAGCTGAACAGTGCCTCCTGTTCAGACATGACTTTAGAGTCCCCAAATTCTTCAATACTCTTCCTGTCAAGAGACAGACTCTATGACTTTGACCAATGGAGTATTGTGAGAGTGATACAATTTGAGTTGAGACTAGGTTATAAAAGGCCCCACTGCTTCCACCTGGTTCTCTAGAGATGCTCCCTCTGAGGCAAGCCATCTGTCAGGTAAGAAGTATTCATTGCTGTATTATATTACACTGCAGTTATGTCCTTGGGACTTCGTGGGCAGTGTTAAAGTGCCAAGTTTTTAATTCTTGGGTTTGCTTTATAGTTATTTTTGTTTCTCCTTTTCTATCATTTGCCAGTTTCCCCAAGCATTTCCTCCCATAACCCTCCCTCTTAAATAGTTATTTCTAATATGCTATGGGCTGAGAATCCAAATATTCAATGCAGTAAGAAGTAGCAAAAAATAAAATAATTATACTTAGAGCCAGAGTTTAAAGAACTCTTCCATGATTAATAACCTTGAGCTCTTCACAGTATGAATTCAGTGATCCTTATTTGGTTGCCCAGAAGTTCTTTTTATATCATTCTCAAGTAGCTAAATTCAGGTTGCCTAAATAAGTTGATCTCTAGACAGGTGAGATGCAAGTGTTTTAAAAGGTATTCTAAAAATTTCACTAAGTAAATTTTCACATTGGTTCGAAGGAAAATTTTCTTCCCCTTTCTATAAATATTTCAGCTCTCTCAATTCTTGAGATGAATTTGAGATTAAACATAGACTGATCCCCTGGTAAAGAGATCAATATGTACACATTCATTCATTAAATCATTTAACAATATATACTGAGTGCTTACTGTGTGACAGGCATTGATTTAAACACTTGGGAGAGTAGCAGTGAATAAGATAAAGTCCTCGCTCTCAAGAAACTTACAGTCTAGTTGGGGGAGGTAAACAAGTAAACACATGACTGGTTATAAATGCCGTGAAGAAAAATAAGGCTTGGTGAGGAGAGTGATACAGATGTATTATTTGAGCAGGGTGATCAGAGAGAATTCTGATTCCATTTTTGCTATAAATGGCTGACCTCCAACAAATTCTTGAATTTATTTATTTATTTTTTGGCTGTGTTGGGTCTTCATTGCTGTGTGCGGGCTTTTCTCTAGTTAAGGTGAGTGGGGGCCACTCCTCACTGCGGTGCATGGGCTTCTCATTGTGCTGGCTTCTCCTGTTGCGGACCATGGGCTCTAGGCGCGTGGTCTTCAGTAGTTGTGGCACGCGGGCTCAGTAGTTGTGGCGCACAGGCTTAGTTGCTCTGCAGCATGTGGGATCTTCCCGGACCAGGGCTTGAACCCATAACCCCTGCATTGGTAGGCAGATTCTTAACCACTGTGCCACCAGGGAAGCCCCAACAAGTTCTTTATTAGGGGAACAAGGAAAGAAAAGTGGCAACCAATTTATTTCAGGGAAGGAGACAAATTAAGTTGGGGACTTCAGATACTTGTGCTTTCCCAGTCCCCACTCAGGGGATCTGGCTGCTTTTTTCCCCTTAAATTTGTTCTCTATAAACAAAGATATGATGATCAGCAAGAAATGGAAATGTTTATATCCTACTTGCACTAAAAGAGGAGATGAATGATCTACTTAAAATGTAGATCATGTGCCAGAGGTCAGTTACTAGAGCTGTCACCCTTTAAAGATGAGAAAATAGAACTTCAGAGAGAGTAAGCGACTTGCTTAAGATCACCCGGTGGCAGAGGCAAAGCTGGAACATAAGTTTCTGATTCCGTCTGTGACATTTTATATTTACACCATTGTATTTGAAGAGTAAAGAAAGAAACACTCCAATACTAGGCTAAAAAGTCTCTATTTCTTACCTGAAAAGGATGTGAAGATAAGAACCAAGGCCAGTTAAAATATGCCACCATGCATGAAACTGTGTGGTAACAGCTATGATAGGTGGCACCTTCTTTCGCAAGTTCCTGTGTGGAGGGGGGTGGAAATATGCATGTCAGTTATTTTTTATATTTAACAACTAATGCTGACAGTCTTAGAGCATTTTGAAATGTCATTCTCAAACATGGCAATTATTTAATTTCCTTATGTCTGCTGTAGTCTGCTGTATTGTTTTCCAAAGTGTATTATGAGGAACAGTATTCCTAGCAGAAGTTCCATGAAGAAATGACTCTGGTCAAAATAAATGTAGGAAACAGTACATAGGTTATTGCCCTCTTGGAGATTTGTAATGCATATTAACAAATTATAGGCTTTAAAAAGTCCTACCATAACTAAACAGGTTATCTTCACATGGAACCCTTCTTTCAGGTAATATCTTATTAACACCTTATGTAACCTACTAATACATGGAACCCTTCTTTCAGGTAATATCTTATTAACACCTTACGGAACAAGTGTTTCCTGGAAAAACACTTTGGGAAACACTGGTCAACTTAGCTATTCACTCAAGAAACTAGACACGAGCTTTTTCTATGCCCTATGTACAACCATCATTTCAGAAGACCACCAAACAGTCTATAAAGTCTTTTTGTATTTATAATATTATTTCACCTCATAGTGAGTCTTTGAGGTGGCTTTATAAGCTTTGCTTTCAAGATGAGGAACCTAAAATGCAGAGAGATTATTGAGTTGCCCCAGTCACTCAGCTAGTAGTACAGCTGAGTCTCAAATTCTAGATCTTTTGATTAAGTGTGTATCATATTAATATTCTCATTTATTAGAGGGGGTAAATTCAATGTGAAACACCAAATTATTTTCTAGGTATCCCCACAAATTTTGCAGACATCTTTAAGAACCTATTTTATTTCTTAGTAGAAACAGAGGATCTCACCCAGAGGATGATGACTTACCTCTGCATTGTAAAAGCCCCAGCTGGGGTTCTGATGGATATTATGGTACTGATTCAGAACCACTCACTTAGATCTTAGTTTTTTAAGCAAGATGTATTATTTGTTTGTGTGCATGTAAAGTCTACATTTCAAACATATGTAAAACTAGGCAAAATAATAATGTACCCATTACCCAGCTTCAACAATTATAATTTATGGCCCATCTTGTATCATCTAAACTTCTCCCCTCCCATATTATTTTGAAGCAAATCCCAGATATTGTTATCATTTTACCTCTAAATATTTCAGTATATACCTCTAAAAGGTTAAAACTTCTTTAAAACATAACTATAATACCATTTTCACACCTAAAAGATTAATAATAATCCCTTAGCATCATTAGATATTCGATTACTGATCATAAGCTTTTTTTTTTTTAAACACTTGGTTTGTTTGAATCAAGATCCAAAAAAAAGTAATTACATTGAGTTTGGTTGATAATATCTCTTAAGTCTCTTTTAATCTTATGTTCCTCCTCCCTTTTTTGCCCCCTCTGCAATTTATTTGCTGAAGAGACTAGGTCATTCATTCTATAGATTTCCCACAGTTTGAATTTTGCTGATTGCCTTTTTGTGGTGCTATTCAATACATTCCTCTGTTGTCTATGATTATGCAAAACTATTAAGTCAGAATTTTGAGTTGGAAGGATCCACTAGTTTAACCTACTTAACATGTTCATTTTATGGAAACTGAGGCCCAGACAGACAGTGTCTTAGGTGACAGACTAGAGCCCAGAGACCCAAGATTCAAATTCCAGTGAATATATAATTGCTGAAAAGGTAGTAAAAAGGAAAACTTGCCTTTCTTAGAAAATAACATTAAGCATATTAAAGTACAAAATTATATACACGTATTTCATATGCTTATTACAAATCATTCCTATTTCTTATTTCTTCAGTAAAGCAGATTAGGCAGATTTCAAAGCCCTAGTCAATATTTGATTAACTGTATAGTACTGCAATGCACACACAAAAAATCCCTACAGATATTATGGAATATTCTTAGGTCCAAATTTTTACGTAATTTAAACAAGCATTCCCAGAATTTAGTTTTATTGTGCTATATGTATATTTTTAATTTCAATGATGGCAAAAATTCACTTCAGTGCACTAATAATTCTATATGTCTAAGAAATGGTCTGCTTAATAGATTCCAAAAATATTTTTCAGAGATTGAAAATATATCTTACCTCAGTGAATCACAAAAGATGTTATCTATGTTCCATAATAAAAATCCCAATAAAAATACACCCAAGGATGTATAACCCAGTCCTCTAAGCCATGGATAAACCCTGTGGGTAAAAAAAAAAGCAAAATGAAATTTTGTCAATTCATGTCATGATGAGAGCTTGAAGTCATCACTGTCATGAGGAAAAGGTTTTCATAAGTATTAAAAGCAAACTTATCTATTAAATTCTCTAATACATTTGCCTATTACATTTAGCCATTAAAAGGTACTAAGAAAAAAATGTGCCACTAAGACTTTGCTAATTGTATCAAGAGAGTAATCTGAAAGTACCCAGTAACTTTATCAGTCACTTGGAAGAGGCAGAGGGGTGGTGGAATAGAAAGAACATTAATTGAGTCATTTGCTGTGTCAGGCACTACAGTATATTAGATACACAGACTATATACATAAACACACACACATGAATACAATCTTCAAATAAACTCTGTGAGGCAGGTATTATTCTTTTTGCTTCGCTGATGAGGGAACTGAAGCTTGGTGAGTTATCCAAAATAACAGGTATAGCTAATGTAGTTTTTATAGCTTTATCCATCACCTCCAAAAGCTTAGTTTATATATATATTTTAGAATGTTATATAAATGGAATAATACAGTATGTTTTCTTTGTTATACGGCTTCTTTCATTTGGCATAATTATTCTGAAATTCATCCATGTTGTTATGTGTATCAATACTCATTTCCTTTTACTGCTGAGTAGTACGCCACTATATGGATATACCACAATTTGTTTATCTGTCCAAATGTTGGTGGACATTTGTGTTGTTTCGTTTTTTGCTATGACAAATAAAACAGCTACGAACATTAATAAATAATTATTTGTATGGACATATGCTTTCATTTCTCTTGGGTAAAAAGCTAGGAGAAGAGCTGAATTGTCAGGCAGGTGAATGCTAAACTTAAGACAGCTAAACTGTTTTACTAACTGACTGTATCATTTTACATTCCCACCAGCAGGGTAGGAGTGTTTTTTGTTCTACATCCTCACTAACACTTGCTATGACATCAGTCTTTTTCATTTTAGTTGCCTCAGTAGGTGTATAGAGGTATCCCATTGTGGTTTTAATTTTTATTTCCCTAATGATTGCTGAGCATCTTTTCATATGTTTATTTGCCATCCCTGTATCTTCTTTGATATGGTGTTTATTGAATCTTTACCCATTAAAAAAATTGTTATTTACCTTCTTATTATTGAGTTGTAAGAGTTCTTTATATATTCTAGTTGTAAGTCCTTTGTTGGACATATATTTTGCAAACATTTTCTCCAAGTCTGTGACTTGCCTTTCATTTTCTTTTTTTTGGATTCTTAAAAAAAAGGTTTTTTTTTAAGTGAAGTATAGCTGATTTACAATGTTCTGTTAGTTTCTGGTGTACAGCAAAGTGATTCAGTTTTATATATATATATATATATATATATACTTTTTCATATTCTTTTCCATTATGGTTTTTTTTGATGTGTTAATGTAGATTTATTTTACTGTTATTTTTTGAATTTTTTTTTAATACAGCAGGTTCTTATTAGTTATCTATTTTATACATATTAGTGTATATATGTCAATCCCAATCTCACAATTCATCCCATCAATACCATCACCACCCCCACTTTCCCCCCCAGTGTCCATACATTTGTTCTCTACATCTGTGTCTCTATTTCCGTCTTGCAAACCGGTTCATCTGTACCATTTTTCTAGATTACACATATATACGTTAATATACGATATTTGTTTTTCTCATTCTGACTTACTTCACTCTGTATGATAGCCTCTAGGTCCATCCATGTCTCTATAAATGACCCAATTTCATTCCTTTTTATGGCTGAGTAATATTCCATTGTATACATGTACCACATCTTCTTTATCCATTCATCTGTCGATGGGCATTTAGGTTGCTTCCATGACCTGGCTATTGTAAATAGTGCTGCAATGAACATTGGGGTGCACGTGTCTTTTTGAATTATGGTTTTCTCTGGGTATATGCCCAGTAGTGGGATTGCTGGGTCATATGGTAATTCTATTTTTAGTTTTTTAAGGAACCTCCATACTGTTCTTCATAGTGGTTGTATCAATTTACATTCCCACCAACAGTGCAAGAGGATTCCCTTTTCTCCATACCCTCTCCAGCATTTGTTGTTTGTAGATTTTCTGAAGATGCCCATTCTAACTGGTGTGAGGTGATACCTCATTGTAGTTTTGATTTGCATTTCTCTATTAGTGATGTTGAGCAGCTTTTCATGTGCCTCTTGGCCATCTGTATGCCTTCTTCGGAGAAATGTCTATTTAGGTCTTCTGCCCATTTTTTGATTGGGTTGTTTGTTTTATTAATATTGAGCTGCGGGCTTCCCTGGTGGCACAGTGGCTAAGAGTCCACCTGCCAATGCAGGGGACATGGGCTTGAGCCCTGGTCCAGGAAGATCCCACATGTCATGGAGCAACTACCGTGCACCACAACTACTGAGCCTGTGCTCTAGAACCTGTGAGCCACAACTATGCCACAACTACTGAAGCCCGTGCACCCAGAGCCCATGCCCTGCAACAAGAGAAACCCATGCACAGCAACAAAGACCCAATGCAGCCAAAAATAAAAATAAATAAATAAATTTATTAAAAAAAATATTGAGCTGCATGAGCTGTTTATATATTTTGGAGATTAATCCTTTGTCGGTTGATTTGTTTGCAAATATTTTCTCCCATTCTGAGGGTTGTCTTTTCGTCTTGTTTATAGTTTCCTTTGCTGTGCAAAAGCTTTTAAGTTTCATTAGGTCCCATTTGTTTTTGTTTTTATTTCCATTGTTCTAGGAGGTGGGTCAAAAAATATCTTGCTGTGATTTACATCAAAGAGTGTTCTTCCTATGTTTTCCTCTAAGAGTTTTACAGTGTCTGGTCTTACAGTTAGGTCTTTAATCCATTTTTAGTTTATTTTTGTGTATGGTGTTAGGGAGTGTTCTAATTTCATTCTTTTACATGTAGCTGTCCAGTTTTCCCAGCACCACTTATTGAAGAGACTGTCTTTTCTCCATTGTATATTCTTGCCTCCTTTGTCATAGATTAGTTGACCATAGGTGCATGAGTTTATCTCTGGGCTTTCTATCCTGTTCCACTGATCTATATTTCTGTTTTTGTGCCAGTAACATACTGTCTTGATAGCTGTAGCTTTTATAGTCTGAAGTCAGGGAGTCTGATTCCTCCAGCTCCATTTTTTTCCCTCAAGATTGCTTTGGCTACTCGGGGTCTTTTTGTGTATCCATACAAATTTTAAGATTTTTTGTTCTAGTTCTGTAAAAAATGCCATTGGTAATTTGATATAGATTGCATTGATCCATTATGGTTTATTACAGGAAACTGAATATAGCTCCCTGTGCTATACAGTAGGACCTTGTTGTTTATCCATTCTATATATAATAGTTTGCATCCACTAATCCCAAACTCCCAATCCATTCCCCACCCCCACCCCCTGCCCTTGGTAACCACAAGTCTGTTCTCTGCATCTGTGAGTCTGTTTCTGTTCTGTAGATAAGCCTCTTTGTTGCTCTTTTTCAAAATTGTTTTGGCTCTTCTAGGTCCTTTGCATTCCATGTAAATTTCAGAAATTGTTTCTCAATTTTTACCAAAAAGCCTGCATAGATTTAGATTGTGATTGCATTGAACCTATAGATCAATTTGGAGAGAACTGACATCTTAATAACACTGAAGTTTTCTAACCCATGAAAATGATACATCTATTTATTTAGGGCTTCTTTAATTTTGCTCAGCAAAAAACTGTTCACCACAATATACAGAGCTTGCATATATTTATTTGCTAAATTTAATCCTTAAACATTTGATGTTTTTGACGGTACTGTAAATTGTACTTTCAAAAATTTCACTTTCCAATTGTTTGGTGCTAATACATAGAAATATGATTTTTGAATACTGACTTGAATCTCGTGACCTTGCTGAATTCCACTTATTGCTCCTAGTAGTTTTTTGGTACCTGTTCTGTGATATTTTCTGTACACAATCATGTCATTTGCAAACACTATGTTGGATAGGACTTCCACCAGTGTAGTGCTGAACAGAAGTGGTGACAATGGATATCCTTGTTTTATTCTTGATTTTAAAGGTAACTTTTAAAAACATTTCATGACTAAATGTGTTAGATGCTGTAGTTTACAGGTTGAGAAAGTTTCATTCTATTGAGTTCGTAAAGGGTTTTATTTTGTTTATGTGGTTTATTTAGATCATAAATAGCAGCTGAAGTTTTCAGAATGCTTTCTCTGAATCTATTGCTATCATCATGTATTTTTTTTTTTTTTAAGATGATGTTGCAGGTAGGAGTTTATTAATTAATTAATTTATTTTTGCTGTGTTGGGTCTTCGTTTCTGTGCGAGGGCTTTCTCTAGTTGTGGCAAGCAGGGGCCACTCTTCATCGTGGTGCGCGGGCCTCTCACTGTCGCGGCCTCTCTTGTTGCAGAGCACAGGCTCCAGACACGCAGGCTCAGTAGTTGTGGCTCATGGGCCTAGTTGCTCCGCAGCATGTGGGATCCTCCCAGACCAGGGCTCGAACCCGTGTCCCCTGCATTAGCAGGCAGACTCTCAACCGCTGCGACACCAGGGAAGCCCATCATGTAGTTTTTATATTCTGTTATTTTAACTGTAAGTATTTGCATATAAACAAATGAAAGGGGTGATTAACTTAAAAATCATCAGGAAAGCACAAACCTGGCTGTGCATGAAAAGGACATTATTGCCACTGTTTGATGAAGGTTCTCAGAGATGAGCTTAAGAGAGTCATAGTATGCCTTCAGCTTTTCTGAGTTTATCATTGCCCCATTTGAGGGAGGCAAGAATGAGTCCCAGGAAGCACAGAGTTCAGCATAGTGAAGGCATTTGGCAGAACTGCAGTGTGGGCCAGGTGCTGAGATGTGACAGGGATATGATCAGTGGGGGTGGGATACTCTCTATTTTCTCCTTCTTAGCTTACTTACCAGGGCCAATCTTCAGCTCTCAGAAGTAGTTCAAAGCAAAATTCTTCTGTGGGGTGAAATGAATGACTTTGGTTATCCAGGT